TACTCACTCATCTAGAATGCTTTAAAAGAAGGCCTAAATGAGAATCCAATGATCTCTCTATATCTGTATGAGGTTTTGTCCATTCAGGATGCATTTTGGCAGGCACTACCGCATGATAACGGAACATCTACAATTTGTATTCCCACTTCTTGTCCGGCCAACTGCAAGTCTCTTACACTCCCAGGTTCCATTATCACGTATAATGCTTGACCAATATACCATGCACTGAGAAGAACAAACCATGAGTCTGAACTTCTTTTTTTAATTTAGTTTTTCTTTCAACGTTTTTGAGAATTATCCTGAATTATTCAATAATATGAGCTGCCTTGATGCCTTGATATTGTCTTATTCTCCATTTTACTTTTCTTGTATATCCAAATGGATTGTAAACACTTGCTGGCCATAAACCATATTAGTTCCCAGTGAAATCTTGTAGATTTGGGTTCTAGTAGATATACAATTCTCCACCCTTTCCTGACTCCCACGCCACTCCCAGCTGCTTCTGGTTGTCAAGCACTTGGATCAGCCCTTCCCAATGAGATGATGGAGAGAAATACACTAAATGAAAAGTTTTCTCCACTAAAATGGTAATCCATTTCTGCCATGAGCAACTCTTGCCTTGCAAGAAGATTCTTCCTGATATTCCTAGAATCCCCTCTCTAATAACCACTTCTCCCTCCGTGGATGTTAACCCTACTTCTCTCTCTTTCTCTCTCTCTCTCTCTCTCTCTCTCTCTCTCTCTCTCTNTCTCTCTCTCTCTCTCTCTCTCTCTCTCTCTCTCTCTCTCTCTCTCTCTCCTCTTTTTCTCCTCCTTTCCCAAATCTCTAGTTCCCTTAACTTGCAGGCCTCACACTACCTGAAGTTATTCAAATATTGACAGAGCAACTCTTACGTGCCAGATACAACCACTTAACATACACAGAGCAACACAGAACCTATCACCAGAGCTTAGAGTTTAGAAGGGAAAACAGACAGTTACATAAACAGTGAATGATAGGGTGATGTTTATGAAAGCATGTGACAGGAGCACCTGGACCTGTTGGAGAGCTTCCTGGGGGAACTGAGATGAAGAGTGTGTAGGAATTAGTCAGGTGACGAAGTGAGAGGATATTCCAGAGACAAAGAGAGAGGAAGGAGGAGGTGGGGGCGGGGAGGGAGAGAGAGAGAGAGGAAGAGAGGCAATGAACTAGATCAGGGGTCGGCAAACTTTTGAGATGGAAGAGCCGCCAGGGGTCAGCAAACTGCGGCTCGCGAGCCACATGCAGCTCTTTGGGTACGCACATGTGACTGAAGTAAAATTGAAAATGAAAATAAAGCTATCATAGTTTCATTTATAAAAATTTTAAAAGATATTGTTCACATAATGGTGATTTCATTTGTTTTATAGGTCTCTCAAAACTTTGAGGAACAGGATTGGCTCTTTCAGGGGTCGGCAAAATTTTGAGAAGGAACGTACCCAAAGAGCCACATGTGGTTCACGAGCAGCAGTTTGCCGACCCCTGGACTAGATTGATTTGTTTAAGCAACTCAAAGGAATTCAGTATCTAATGTGGTGGGACAATGGGGGTGGGGATGGAGAAGGAGTGACCAGCTGATAGCGTTAGGAGTTAATAGGAGCTGCTTAAAACCTTTGGGAAGCCATTACACAGTTTTTAACTGGAAAGTGACATAACTAAATTTGCATTTTTAGAAGGCTCTCCAACTCAGGACAGAGTGAGAAAGCATCCAAGCTGATCTTGAAGGAGGCTGGAATCCAGTCACCCAGGTGAGAGACAAGGATTGGTATAGTGGCTTTGGAGTTGGAGAGAGGTGGCCTGATTGAGAAATATTTAGGAAAGGTATAATTTAAAAGACTCGGTTGAGGGGGCCGGCTGAGTGGCTCAGTTGGTTAGAGTGCAAGCTCTGAGCAACAGGGCCTCCGGTTCAATTCCCACATGGGCCAATGAGCTGCGCTGGAGGTGAGCTGCCGCTGAGCTAGTGATAGTGCATGCTCTTAGCACCAAGGTTGCCGGTTCAACATGGTGGGCTGCACCCCACTCCTCCCGCCCCTCCCCGCAACTAAGATTGAATATGGCACCTTGAGCTGAGCAGCCGCTCAGCTGGTGAGAGTGCATGCTTTTAACAACAAGGTTGCCAGTTTGACTCCTGCATAGGATGGTGGGCTGTGCCCCCCTGCAACTAGATTGAAAGTGGCAACTGGACTTGGAGCTGAGCTTGCGCCCTCCACAACTAAGATTGAAGGACAACAACTTGACTTGGAGCTGATGTATCCTGGAAAAACACAATGTTTCCCTCCCCCAATTCCCCAGTAAAATTAATTAATTAATTAATTAATTAAAAAATAAATAAATAAATAAATAAAAGACTTGCTTGATATTGTTGAAATAACTTTCTAGGAACAAGATGGAGCGACTTCTGCCCCAGTATTGTGTCGACAAACTGAGACTTAGATGACTTTTGTGTCCCTGTGAATACTCCTGTTGATCAGAAATGTCCTGTCCACCAATATCTAAACGCCAATCCAACTCAGGGCCTTCTCACCCCAAACAAGGTTGACTATGACTACTGGCCCCAGCCAATCAGATATTTTCTATTTTTCTCTTCCTTGTTCTTTATCCTATAAAATCTTCCCACCATCTGCCTATTTTGTAATTTTCCAAATGGAGACTGTCAACTTTATGAAGGGTTAAATAAAGTTTGTTTGTATCACCTAAATTGTCTTCTTGAATCAGTTTGTAAGAATAATACATCGTGGTATAGAAGAGAGAGAACTTAAGAAGACTCTTGATCAATGACTTGGGCAACTGGGAGGTTAGTCAGGCCTTTCCCTGAGATAGCGATGAGGGGTGGAGAGCAGGCCTTAGTGGGAGGATGCTGAGTTTGCTAAGCTGAATTTTGGACACTGGACTTCAGGTGCCTGTGTGGAGCACGAATGAGAGATCGATGGGCACATATGGATTTGTGAATCCTTGGCACAGAGATATAGTGATCAACATCATTGGGATGAATGAGATGACAGAAAATGTGAGTCAAGCAAGAAGTCTTTCCTCATCAACTCCACTTCAGGGTTCTGTCAGTGTGACAGCAGCCCCAAGGGAGGGACGGCGATTCCTCAGGCTGATGCCAGCAGAAAGGAGTAGAGTTTATAACAGCATTTCCTAAGGTGCACTTACCCTGAAAAATTGTTCCATGAGAACCCCCCCCAACACACACACACACACACACACACACACACACACACATTGTTCTATGACCAAATAAGTTGGGGAAAATATGTGTATTTAAAGAATATTAAGAACACATCAAGGACTGACAAGTTCTGCAGTGAAGAACTTTTCCATCTTTGTTTAACTCAGCTTTCCCACGAGCCTGCCCTGGGCAGAGGTAATTCTTCCAGAATCTGAGTGCCTCAGCGTGAAGGAAAACAGAAAGAGCCAGCTTTCCCAGATGCGTGCTTCTAAGTCAGGCCCAGGGAACATGTCCATCTCCTCATTTATCAGATGAAAGCATGTGGCTCAGCGATTGGCTCCAAGTTCACAGCTGGCTAGGAATACTTTAGGGTTATTATCTAGTCCTTTGATTCTTTCAGTTTAAGAAGAACCCAGTGGATACAATAGAATGAAAACTGGAAACTTATCTTTCAAAATCCGGTCCTACAGCATGACTCGTGACATTGACGTTGAATCTCAGCTCTGCCATTTCTTAGTTGTGTAATCTTGGACAAGTTATCTAATCTCTTTGAGGCTCTTGTTTTTTTCACTGGTAAATTGGGCTATAACAGTAACTATCTATAATAGTAGGATTATAATTAGATGTTACTGTTGACCTGAAAATAAAGGGCCAAAGTGAGAGGCAACAAGCATTTATTTGAGATCCAAGAGAATAGCTATTCAAGAGTCACTGATCCAGGCAGAAGCCCAAATAGTGTTCTAGTTAGGAGTTAAAGGCAAGGGGTATTTATGAGAAATGGAAGGGAAACAATTACATGAATAAAAGCAAGAAATCTTCATGGGTGTTAATAAGCTAAGGAAGGAATTTCTATGGGTGCAGATAAGCTAACACAGTGATGCTAATCATAAAGAATGTCTTTAATTTTTAGTCTGGTAGTCATACTGTCTGCTTTCCTGTTATCTTTGGAAACAGTTGTTTGGAATGCAGTCCAAAGGTTATTTTGCCCCGTTTTAACATTTTGAAGGTTTGAGCAGGAAAACTGTGCAAGGCAGTTCCTTTGGGGTGGCAGCTCCAACTCTATTTTAAAATGGTTCCATTTATATTATTTTTATATTACTATTAATCAACAGAAGTTGAGGGGTTGAGATTTGCTTGGTATCTCACAACTAACAGAGATAAAGCTGGAACTGAAACCCAGATCTTTGGGCTCTAAATCTGGGGCTCCTTCTATTAACCAAATCATTTCTACCAGTATCTCTTGGATTGTGCCTTGGGGGTTTGCATTCAGCAACAGCCACAAGGACAGTCTAGCTTCTGAGACACAAAAGTCTGCAAATGGTGGCCCAATCAAACTGGAGAATAGAGATTTCTGCAAGGAAGTTGGAAGGAAGGTGGGGAGAAGGTGGACTGGCTTAACAAACATTCCTAAGCCTTGGTCCTAGAAAACTTTAAAAAATTTTAATTCTTGGAATGCACTCCAAGTCTCAGCTACTCGAATAAAAAACTCTGGTGGGAGGGCCAAATTCATTCTTGAACAGATCTGCAGGTAATTTAATTCTGAGCTGCCACCTTGATAGAAAAGCACTGTCCTTTTCTAGACAAAAATTAATGCCCAAATCATCTAAGAACCCACCATGCTCACAGATTAGTGCCTGAACCAACTTGGTTTTTGAGTTTTCCTGTGTTTCATAGAAACCTGTTTGGGTGAGTCAAAAAGTCACAGAGGAAGGATTGCATCTCTGAAGCAAAAAGGGCGGGCCCAGACTCACTTCCTCCCTCTCCACATATGGCCTTCCTGTTGTCACAGTGTGCTCACATTTATTCCTCCTTCACTTCTCCTTTTACACAAATAGCCCCGGACTTCCGTTGTAACAGCCTTGTCGCAGCCACCTAAAGGATAATCATCAATTCTACCTAAAGGACTGAGGAAAAGTGCCTGCAAAAGGTAAGATTGGTGACACTTTAATCTGGTTTGAGAGCAGAGACCTGAACCATGTGGGAGGGGTATCTTCTTAGGCGTCTCCATACACCTCGTTAGTGACCCTAAAATCTCCTGTTTCTGTTCCACAAATATTGTGTAGGAAGTAAAAGGATCAGCAAGATCCTAGTAGCCCTCAAAAGGCAATCAGGAAAGACTTTTAATTAAGCAGGTTCCCGTTACCTTATGTCTCTTTGGGTCAGGACTTTCCTATCTTTAAATTGCTTCCAAACTTGAATTTCTGTGCGTGACCATTTATGATCCCTGGAGCTTTCTGTGTGAGATAAAGTTGGGGAAATTTCCTACATGTTTTGGTCTTTAGAAGATTGGTCTTGTGATTTTAAAGTAAGGAGAGAACCAATAGCTAGAGCCATTTAGAAAGGCAGTGTGGAGGTGTAAGTCTACTTCACTTGAGAAAATTTCAAAAGTAAAGTTAGTGACTCCCACCAAATACAAGGATTGCTATAAATCACAACGGCCAGCTCAGTCAGCAACACAAGACATAGTCAGTATCCGTGTTTCGAGAGGTGAAAGTTAGACACCTCTAAGTGATACTTAGAATGGCTGTTTTCAAACAACAGGAAGTGCATTGTGAACCTCAGAGTTCCCCTAAATACACTAATCCTCAGTGGGCAAAACATGGATATTAATAAGTATGACATGCACCAATCAATGAAACTTGATATTGCAATATTTCTAATTTCAGGCCCTGTAACTAATGGTTGAGGTGTCATAGACTCAGAAAGTCATCGCCAAATTTGGTCCTGGCTTTCTGTGACCACCATAGTTGCTAGGTCAGGTGACCGCAGGGAACTCTAAATCAGAGCTTTTTCCTCCCAGGACCTGCAATTGTCACTCCTTGGGGAGAGGAAAGTTCCCTAGGACCACAACCACCTGCCAACAATGAGGGATGGGAATGCCAGAAGCACCTCGGGAGCTACTGAGCCTTGAATTTGCAAATAAAGGCCAGACTTTTTTAACAAAGTCGTGTAACGGTCAGCTGTTGAGTACCCTGTGGGGCCAGGCACTGTGCTTTGGATGATGATGGTGGGGACAGGTGGTGGCAAGGTAGGAGGACATTAGTCCAGCAAATAGGCCTGCCCTTAAGGAACTCCCATAGGAGATAAGAGGTATTAGATATGTACGCAACTGCTTTGGAAGAAAGTTGAGCAAAAGCAGAATCTTAGCCGCTGGCTAAACAAAGAGGTTTTGCTTTCTCAATCTCCACCCAAATCTGCACTGTTTTGAAATTGCAGTTGAATCGAAGCAGAGGCTGAGCTAAAACATGGTTTCCTGTGATGTTTCCTGTGTGGGCTGGTTAAGAATATTAAGCCTTTAAATGAAAGGATTGGGCACATTTATAACCACAGGGAACAATCCAAAAATCTATCCCTCCACAATTACTACAACCTAAGGGATTTACCCTTTGGTACTTGACGAGAGGCACAAAGAGGAAAGGTCAACCTTTGTTGGTCTTCAGTTTCTTTTTTTTTTTTTGAAGATTTTATTGGGGAATTGGTGAGGGGAACAGCGCTGGGGAATCAGGGGAAGGGGAATAGACAAGTTGCTGTCCTTTTTGCTCTTCAGTCTAGTTGTGGAGGACGTCTCTTCACTGGCCCATGTTGGTATTATCATTGCACTCTTCCTGGGTGGGTGAGGCAGATCGGTCACTGGCCTCTGAACGGCCACTCATGGTGGCTCTTAGCATCTCACACCGGCTGCCGGCCACACACGGTAGCTCACAGCAGCCCACTGCAGCAGGGGCTGCAGTCTACACTGTGGCCGGCGACTCACGGCAGCCCAGCTCCAGGTCAAGCTGTTGTTCACCATCTTAGCTGTAGAGGGCAGTGTCACTGGTCTCCATGTGGGATCCGAACTGGGGCCCTGCTGCTCAGAGCTGGCATCCCAAGCCAGCTCTTAACCAATGTGCCACTCCACCAGCCCGGTCGTCAGTTTCTTCTGTGAACAGAAAGAGGTCCTCAGGTTGACCTCTGTCTGCTCAGAAGGCTTCGGACTCAGACTTGCCACCTGTTCCTCTTCCTTACCCATCCCTGTCTTGCAACATACCAGTGGCTAGGCCTTGTGCTAAGTGCTAAAGACACAAGGATAACTGATGTGGTTATCAAATTTAAAGTGTTCGTGGAATCTAGCATGGGGGACAGGCACAAATACAACACAGAAATACAACAAAATGTGATCTTTTCTATAATCAAGTGAGGGTGTACACAAAATGTAGGAGGAGTTTAGGAATGTGCCAAAGACTCCCTGGGAGAAGGGGTGACTGCTTGGGTCCATTTTCAAAGAAGTATGAGTTTGCTGTGGAGACTGGGGATAACGGCAATCAAGACAGGGCACAGTGTATGCAAACTCAAAACCAGTGACCCCCCAGATATGTTGGAAATGAGAGTAAGCAAGACTGGACTATAACAAGCCATGACTGCAAGACCACAGGAAGTGGATACCCCTTTTTCTTACTTGGTTCTAGAATCCCAACACCTGAAAGTGAAGGCAAGATCCTTAACCAGGCGGGTTCTGGGCCTAGCCCTGGGTGGGGCTACACCTGAGACATCCACAGGACAGAATTGATGGGATGTGACCGGAAATGAGGGTGAAGAGGCAGATATTTTCCTCCTCAGCCTATATTTTCTAGTACTAGAGTGAAAGGTGGAGCTTTTTGTGCGGTTGTGCCATTCTTTTCCCCTCAGCTTCTGTTCCAGGAAATGCTGTGTTGGTTTAGTTATGGTGGTTTGGTTTGTGTTCCTACATAGTCAGCCCACTGCATTTCCTGTACCAAGTGAGCATCTAATGTGTGCAGATCACCTTTGACCTAGAGACTGGGCACTTACCCTCAGGGCGCTCCAGGATCCAGCTGCCACCACAGATGCAGAGCGATGAAGTGAAAGCCACACAGAGGAACCAGACAGCTGAGCGGAGCGGGCCTCGGGGGTGGCTGCTGGGGCACAGGAGGAGAGGACGGCAGCTGGGGGTTGGGTGGTCAGTTTGGGAAGGCTGTCTGTAAGCAGGCTTTGGGGAAGAAGAAGAGGAGGCATTTCCAAAGCCAATGGGTGATCACTCAGAGTGGAGGCCATGGATCGATCTGTGTTGGGATGCAGAGGCAAGCCCTCCACTCATTCCCATTTCACCAGCACGTGGTAGTAGCAGTAGCATCAGTATAGCATGTGTACTGGCCAAGAATTATTGAAAAGAAAAGATGCTACAAGGATACATTTGTATAATCATTTAAAATAGAAGTGTTATACAAAACAACAACAACAAAAAGAATAAATACATAAATAAATAAATAAAAATAAAATAAAATTGTTATATTCCAAGTCTTAGAGTGTTGTTACTTAAAGGGAACTTGGAGATTATGTAGGTTCAAATAACATGTCCAACTCATAGGGACAGTCCAATATATATTAGCTATTATTGTAACATTACAATCTACTTATTTTCCAGGCAAGGTGACTTGTCCAAAGTCATAAAACTACTTAACTTGTTATTTAGACTATTTCCTAATTCTCTATGAAATTCTCTTTCCTCCACACACTATATATACTCCCTTCTCTTATAGACTTCTTATTAAATAGTCATCATTAGACTTTGCTTATTTTCACATAAAGAAATTTCCATCAACTATGCTTTAATTAAAAAGAGCTTCACATTCCAGAAAAAAAAAAAGAGAAGAAATTTCCAGGACATTTTAACTTAAGCGAAATAAAAATACAACTTACTTATAAATCCAATTGATCTAAAATCAATAAGCTAGAAAATCATATATTTAATATACATTTAATTTGTAAAAATTGTGTTTGACATTTTATATTTCAGAACTAGTTGAGGAATAGGGGTGAGAAATGATTTTGACATCTCAAGTATTTTAAAATTTGTCCAAGTAAATTTGAACTCATGGCTTAATATTCACTCTATCTCAGGAACAAATAGAAGTATTTAAGAATTATCCAGTGATTTGTTCTTCTAAAAAGAGGTATGGTAGAATCTCAGTATTTATACCATCAGAGACTTAAGTTGTAATGATTTTGAAATCAGAATCCTTTAGATCAGTTACTCATGTTCAACTTTTTTTTTTATGCCTGAATGCATGATGGATAGGCCTCTCAGACAGGAACCCTCCACGGCAAAGTTTTACACATTTTTAGAGTAAGGACAGAGAACTCTACTCTACCGACTCTATATTAGTGATAACTGTTTTATGTTACTGTTCCCGGTTTAGAGTGGTCCTTAGCTCAGTTACTAGTAGCGTCTGTGATTTTTTGTTGTTGAGCTGTTACCTTGCTAAACTTCCAAATGGAAGAAAATGAGCCTCCAAGATCATCTGGATTTGCCTTTCTTCATTTTTCACGTTGACAAAAATTCAGACTCACAGAAAAGTTGTAAAAATAGTACCAAGAATTTCTAAACTGCCTTCACCCAGATGTCCCAAATATTAACATTTCACCAGGTTTTCTTTATTCTTCCCTGGCTTTCTTATTTGGGAGTAATTACTGACATGATATCCTTTCCCCCTCTGTGCTTTAGTGTGTATTTTCTACAAACCAAAACATTCTCTTCCATAACTACTTTACAATGATCAAAACCAGGAAATGAACACTGGTATGGTACTTTTGACAATTCATAGATCTTATTCAGCGTCTACCAATTGCCCCATTATTCTTGATAGCAAAGAAAGTCTCTGATCATACATTGCTTTTGAATGTCATGTCTCTTTAGTCTCCTTTTATCCGGAATAGTCCTTCTTTGTATTTTATGACATTGATATTCTTGAAGCCTGCAGGCTAGTTATTTTCAGAATGTTCTTCTTTTTGGGTTTGTCTGATGTTTCCTCATGACTAGATTCTGGTTATTCAAACTTTTTATAGGAAAGTCACAGAAGTGGTTATCATTATCCCACAGAGAGCCTTGTCCAATTGGGCTATGCATGTATGCACGATGGACAGGCCTCCCAG